GGCGGGCGTTTTTGCAGGCGCATTCCCGGGGTGACGGGCGCCAGCGGCCGCCATTTGACAGCTCTTGGGACGCAGTGGGGAAGTGGCAGCAACGGCCGCCATTTTAATAATTGGGTAGCCTCTGATGGATGCGGCCGCCATTTTAACTGCCGGTGACGCAGTTAGCCTTCGGCAATGGCTTGCCAACATGTACATAACACACTGCTATGAGTATTGTTATAAAGCGCTGCTTGTGCTGGGAGTGGGCTTCAGGGCCCTGGATAATACTGTATAGTTTAATCCTGTTTCGGGGGATACCCCCTTTTTGGGGGGCATAGGTTGGAGGTTGCATGGGCTTGGGGACACATGAGGCCTCTTCCAACTCTTTTGTATGGAGGCTGGATGGCCACCCATCAAGGGGAATAAAAAAAAAAAAAAGGAAAACAGGATTAGCACCCCCTCCCCTTTTGCTAAGGGTATAACATATATATAGTTATTTGTTTATATCATTAGGGGGCCAATATAATTATATATATATATTAAATAAAAAAAATTATGCTGGATATTGTCTTACAGTCTCCTGGCAATAAGTATAAATACACATCCAAATAGTGATGGTGATTGTGTTATGTCACTGTTCTTCTTTATAATGATATGGTACTGCTGTGAGTTTTACATGTGGAGGCAGACTACACACGCTCAGCGGATCATAGGGCCAACTGATCATGACTTAATACTTATAGTGTTAATTGAACAGATCACAGTTACGCACATGGTGGCTCTTTCAACTCTTTGATTCTATTTCTCCTATAGGCGGGAGAGGGCGCTGGCGCGTGGTGTCTCTTCCAACTCATTGATTCTATGAGTCTAAGGCCCCATGGGCAGGGGTGGGCAAATGACACATGGTGTTTTTTCCAACTCTTTGATTCTATGATTCTATGGTGCCATTGGCACTCTCCCACCGCCACCATGGGGGGTTACTTGACATGGGTTGTGTCATTTGATTTCATCTACAGCATCTTTAAGTTACAATAGCACATTAGAAGCCATAGTACATGAACGGCGGTATGCTGCCATTTGGCGTGGGCTTCCAGAGTAAGGCATCTGTTTATGCAAATGTCCCTTTCAACTCTTTGATTCTATTCGCCATTTGGGATAAGGTGGCGGATGTATGTGAGGGCGATGGGACGTGGGGTCTTTTCCAACTCTTTGATTCTATGATGCTTGGGAGCCTAGTCGGGGGGATATGGAATGGCACAGTGTGTCTCTGCCAACTCTTTGATTCTACGATTATGTGGTGCGGTGGGCACTTTTGCATCACTGGAGGGAGTGGATAAGGGCTGCCATGGGGGCGTTAGCGCTCGGTGTCTAGAGCGGGCTCTCATTGGCATTCTACCCCCTTTTATTTTGTAGGATGCCATCAAAGAAGAACAGGGGGAGCCCTAAGGGGAAGGGTCCCGCGGAGAAGACGGGTCACAAGCGCCCTTTGCGTCTGGATGGGTCGTTGTCGGACGAAGATGGGGTGTCTATGGAAGATTTGGAGGCCCTTCTTCAACGTGTTAACCAAATAGAACAAAATAGGGGGGTTGGTTTGGGTGGGGCTGGTTTAGGCCCCGCTCGCCGGGCAAGTAAGAAACAGTTGTTCAAATCTTTATTGTCCCGGGTTTCTATTATAGAGTCGACCTCAGCTGCGGGGGCTGAAAGGGCGGTCCGGCTTCCTGAGCAACCGGCGGTTCCGGGGGCTGCTGAGGGTTCGTCTTTGGTGTCTTCGGCCATGCAGATTATCACCAGCCCCGAAGTGCATCCATCTGTGCAGGCTTCGTCTGGCTCCGCGGCGGCTGCTGTGGCCGGACCCAGTCAGCCCGCAGCATTGGCCTCTACGTCCAGTGCTGTGGCCGGGTCCACTCAGTCGGCGGGGTCGACTGTTGCTGCCGTCGATGTAGCAGGGCGTGAGCAGTTGGTGACGGCGGTCCCAGCAGGTACTTCCGCCACACTCACATCATCGGGCACTTCCACATCACTCACATGGCCCTGGGATCAGGGGCGGGCTCAACCTGTAGTGGGGGTTCAGTCTTATGCGGCAGTGGGGGTTCAGTCTGCGGGTGGGGCGGAACCCAGTACAGGAGATAAGAAGGATGAGTCTGCTGCTCAGTCGGCCAAACCAGTTACTGTCACCTTGGAATCGGCCCGAACTGGGGAAGCAAACAAATTTTGGGGCACAGCAAAATGGCCACCACAGGCGACGCCTACTGTTAGTCTTTCAGGTCTAGGTTCCCATTTGGCGACTAAAACTATGGAGAAGATTTGGAGGAATGAATACATCGATATCTTCTCTCTATATTTTAGGGATATGGATAAGAAGGAGAAGGATGATTTAGATGAGGACAGTAAGGAGAAAATGAAGAAGCGCAAGGTTGAGCAGAATTGGGAGAACTGGCTCCCTTGTTTCACAATGTATGCGAACTTGCTCTCTGATGCTGCCCCAGAAAGGGCTACGGCCTTGTGGCAGTACCAGAATATTATTAACAAGGCTTATGTCAGCGGCCCTCCTAACGCTTGGCTGGAATATGATCGGCGGTTTAGAACCGAAGCGGCTTGCCATCCAGACAAGCGTTGGGATTTGATTGATGATCAAATTTGGATTGAAGTGATGAATCCGTCTAGGGCTTCTTCTGCTTTGAAAGCCGACAGTGGGCACACTATTCAGAACACAGCGGGACAGCCCTCTCGGCAGGGGGCTCCCCAGCTGCAGTCCCAGGGCCAAAAGCCTTTATGCTGGGAATTTGTGGCTCAGGGAGCCTGTTCACGGAAGGACTGTCGATACTCGCACTCGTGCTCTATTTGTTATGGGTCCCATCCATCCCGAACTTGCCCCAAGGGGAGGGCCGCAAGAGATAATAGTAGGGGTACCCAATTCGTTAAGAAACCTTCAGGGCAGGCCGCAGTTTCACAGGGGCCCCAGCCCAATTAAGTTAAATCAGTTGAAGGTTGTCTGGATCAGTACCCAGAAGGGGGCAGTTAAGTACCTTTGGGAAGGTTTTTAGTGGGTTTGCATATTCACATGTTGGGTCCTCAGTTTCCCACATTATCCTCTAATTGGAGATCCATGTAATCGGATGTGATCCCTGAATCAAGGGGCAGGGGGAAAATAGGACACTTACTGGCGATAGGCTCGCCTGGCGTTTGTTTGTTTGTTGTTTATTTTGCAGGGACTGCCAGGCTGGTGCATAGATGGAGGATCCTTGTTGTGGGCATAATTATGTCCACTGGGCGGAGAGATACGCCGGGAACTCGTCCTTTGGCCAGCGTCTGGGTGTGCTTCCACTGCATTGGTCGAGTGGAAGGGTGTTCGGGGCCTTAGTTGGGCCCGTGCTCCATATCGGAGGTAATGATCTGGGCCTGCTTAGCGGCAGGGCCCTGTATCTACAAGCCCGTGCCGACATTTTGGGATCTGGCAGGCATGGTCCCGGGTTCACATCGATTGGTCGGCCATCATTCCACGCCTTCGGTGGCCAGGAGGCGGTGACGTCAGGAAGCTCGGGAAGGCCTGGCAGCGTGTGAACTGGGCCATGCGCACGGCTTTTGGCACGGGGCATACACCATGGAGACATTACACATGACAAAACACGGTTTTACCGTTATGATGGTGTACACCTCACAGATTGGGCAACGCACAATTTTGGGCTGATTTGCAGTTAGGCATTCAGGAGGTTTTTAAGGGGCTTGGTGGGGGATGGGGGCGAAATAGACATTTGCCCCCAATCTGTGGCATAAATAGTTCAGGAAAACACTGACATGGAGGTATACACATGGCACCCATTAATGGGTGAGGGGCATTGTACAACAAACACTCACCTAGAAGTCAACAAATGGGTGAGGGGACATCAATTGGCCCAGTAAAGTGAGAAGCTGATATCAATAATCGGACACAGGCTTCTCCAGACTTTTACCTTCAGGTTGCCCGGTTGGGGATCCAGGGCACACAGACATCACACTCTAAGTAGCTGGGGACGCTGCCTCAGCTTGCCACCAAGTTCCTTGACACTTAGTTTAGTTCAGGTAAAGTTAAATAGGTAACATTCAATAAAAGTTGCCCAATTTGAATCCATACTTTTGTTGTCTGTCTCGTTATTTCAGGGGTTAAGGGGCAAATCTGGGATTTTTCCTAGCCTGGTAAAATCTGCCTCCTCTAAGTAGATAGTGCCATTAAAGTTGGTACTTGGAGAGTTGAAGTAAGATTGTTGTTGAACTATGTGACTGTGGGATTAAAATAACACAACATGCATAGTATGTTTTTAGAGTTTTCCCTCAAATGGTGAAAGATGTCATGCGATTTTCCTTGTCTTGCATTTATTGATCATAGGAGAGTAAACATGAACTTAATTTGCAGTCTGTTAGCTGAGGGTTGCATGTTTGACTGGTTCTGCTGTGGAAGGGAGAATGTGTTAATTGAAAAAAATATACATTTCTATCAACATCTAGCTTGACTCATATTATTGTTACATTAATGTCCACACAAGAAATACTGAGAAGCATTTTTTGAAATTTTCATTCCACCCCACCCCATCTGTTGTGATAGCTGAATAATATCTGACTTCTGTACATGGAATGCCATTTGCCCCTTTGATCCAGGCAGTGAAGTTGTCATGGGATATATATTGGAAATAATGTGATATCTTCCTTATTTGGCAGCTAATGTTTGAAAAAAACCATATGGTTGATGAGACCCTTTTTTTTTTTATAGTACTGGTACAGAGGAATTACTATATCTGCATAGAATGATGCAGCCAGAACTATTTCGCTGCTTTTTATTGCCCCATCTTCTATAAAGTAATTGGTGATTTCAATAGTAAAAGCCTTGCAGCAAATTACTGGATGAGATGTACATCCACGTCTAAGTTGGTGTTAGCGGAGAAGATGAATGTTGTCACTCATTGCAAGGTTGCATGCTTGGATTGTTCTACAGATCTGTTGAGTTTATTCTAATTCTGCCAAAGGAACTAATAAGATGCATGTTGGGCTCAGGATCCAAGGACTTTATTTCAACAGAACCATTGCTATGCAAGCACAGTATGTCAAGATTCTAGAGGAATGCAAATCCACGTGTTTTATAATATTGCAACAGAATTGAACTGAACATGTTGGCAACAAGCTTAGGAAATGTCTCTTAGCATCTTTACAAACTGAGTTTTTAATATATTTTAAAAACAGAATCCATATGGTCCTGTAAAAGTTATTGTTTGGTCAGTTCAAAAGTAAGTTGAAGCACTTTAGAGATCAAAGTTATGTCATTAACTTTCATAGATTGCCTGTTTCCTGTGATAGTCTACACAATTGTTGCTACTAACTTCATTCTCTCAGTCTCCAAGGTGTTACAAGATCCCTTTGCATATTGATATTCCAGGCTAACATTGTTATTCTTTGAAATGATAATGAAAATAATCTATTTATCGATATGCATTACACCAAACTTGACAGTCCATTAGCCTATTGGTAGCTGCTTTATCTGTATACCTGTAAATTAAATGTTTATTGTAAGTAGTTATTTTGACTTTAAAAGTTTCACTGAGATGAAAAATATATAAATATTATTGATATACATATAATTGGATAAGAAAAATATGGCAAGGTGGGAGGGAGAGAAAGACTGAATTTCATTTCCTATTCTTTGATAGCCTGAATACCTCTTTGGAAAAAGCAGGACACACATTCAATAAATAAATAAGATGCACATATTTCATATTCACAGAAAAACTCCATTGAAGAACTCGTCTTTGTATAAGTGATTGCGGCAGAAGTACTTCGGGATAGATTATGCAGATAAGATGAACAATTTATTATATATACAGTTAAGCAATTGCATTGTTTTAAAGAAATGAGTGTGGTAACGTAAACAGATTTAGCATGAATAACAGTACAACACACACAAATTGGACTAATTCATTGATTTAAAAGTTCACAAAACCTGAAATAACAGACAGCAGGTTGCATTGTTACCTAGGACAGTAAAAAACTGTACAGTACAAACAACACATTACAATAAATTATGATGAATGAGGCAGTCTTTGATCTGTGACAAAAAGACAAAAGGGAGGGTATTAAAATCTCATAAATCCACCGTATCTCTTCTCCATCTCTGGCACCTCTTTGGAGTAACTTTCTCCATCTTCTTCTGAAGGAAGAATTGAATCAGCGAAGCGCTTAAGAAATCCACCGTATCGTTTCTGGTAGTCTTGCCACCACTCTGGTCTTCCTACTCTTCTCATGAAGCCACCATATCTCTTTTGCAGCTCTTTGGCATCATCTTCAGATTCGGGACTGCGCTTTATGCTTTTCATAAAGCCCCCATATCTTTTGATAATTTCACCATCATTATCACTCAAGCTCCGATAACGCCCGGGTTCAGCATTTTCTCCTGTTTCAAGAAGCTCCTTCAGCAGGTCAGAGGAATTAGCCAAGGTATCATCATCTGAGTCCTTCTTCATAAACCCTCCATATCTTTTAGCAACAATTCCAGCTCTACTAAAGTCCTCTTCTGGTTCTATATCATAAAGCTCATCCATCTTTTTCATGAATCCCCCATAGCGTTTCATGAACCCACCATACTTTTTGGCTAGCAAATGACTCTCATCCTGTTTTGTGTTGTCCCCTATGACACCATTACCTTCCTGGGAAAGATCCAGTTTAGTCAGTTGAAGGAGTTCCTTGCAGGTTTCCCAGGCTTTGGCAGAAGGCAGCTTTCCTTCACATTCCAAGGTACATGCCTGAAACATATTGTAATTTATGCATGTGTTAAATGTAAAGAAACAGATATTTAATATGCTTCCTTAAAAAAAATTAAAACCTAGGGAAGATACATTCTGTCCTCCCTCCCTATATTTTGCATTGTATATTAGGAAAGGGGTAATCATTTTAATATTATCTTGAGTTGATTTGAAACTGCTAGTCAAATACATAGTTATAATCATGGTTTCCAACTACAGATTGAACATCCCTTATCCAGAATTCCAAAACCCAAACACACCAAAATCCAAAACTCTCTGTATAAATGGCTGACATAGTGATGCCTTGCTTTCTGATGCCATGTTTTCAATTTACATAAACTTTGTTTCATGCACAAAATTATTAGAAATATTACATATAACATTGCTTTGAAGCTATATGTATAAGCTGTAAATGAAATAAAATGAACTGTGTTTAGACTTGGGTCTCTTTTCCAAAATCTCTCATGTATGTACATACAAATACAAATCTGGAAAAAAAATCCAAAATTCAACCTCTGGTCCCAAGCATGATGAATAGAAAATAACTTTGCAATGTGTGGGCTAGACATAATATTTTCTGCTATGGGAAAAAGATGATATATCTTCAAAATGCCTTTTCACTGTTTCTCTAAAAGCTTTCTTAGAGGTGGCAAGATTTCAAAGTTTTCTAGGTCTAATTAATATTTTCACTAAAAGTACAAGATGCATTAGTCAGAGTGAAGTGGAAAGACACACATAAAAAATTAAAGAAGACGATGTCTCAGAGCATATTTTAGTAAATGGACTGAATGAAGGAGATTCGTTGGGTCAACATACGTGTAACACTGGGTCTATCTCAGTAGAACTAACAATGAGATTCAGCTTGATGTCATCAGCCCTCCTGAGCATGTTTATGTAGCATATCAAATTCTGATTAATGATTTGTAGGAGGCAATTTTTTTTATAAACATACCAAAGACAAAGTCTTAATTATGATTGCTCACCAATCAATTCATGACATTTATTACAGAAGATGAACTTCTTCCCCTTCCTTTCCTACTACATTCAAATCAAAAGTTTGGTGATATTCACAAGAGGAAAATATTCAAAGTCCTTAGCTTTGGAAAGGTGGAGGGGTTTGAAAGGTGAAGGGGTTTGGGAGTCCATTAAGCCAAGAAAGGGTCTAGTGTCATAAAATTTACCCCTTGACTGTTCTCATGCATTTACTGTGTATGTGGATTCACTTGCCCTTTTTCTAACAGGAGCGGGGCGCAGGGAGCATACAACTCCTCTGCTGAACCAGCTCCACTGGCTGCCGATATGCTACCGGGCTCAATTCAAAGTGCTGACGTTGGCCTTTAAAGCCCTAAACGGTTCTGGCCCAACTTATCTATCCGAACGTATCTCAGCCTATCAGCCCACCAGGACCCTAAGATCTTCCGGAGAGTCCCTTCTCTCTATCCCTCCAGCTTCAGAAGTGCGGCTGGCGGGGACGAGAGATAGGGCCTTCTCTGTGGTGGCCCCCCGGCTTTGGAACACCCTCCCTATAGAAGTACGATCAGCCTCGTCGCTGATGGTGTTTCGGAAGAGACTCAAAACATGGCTATTTAAACAAGCATTCGGCTAACTTGTGGAAATTGAATCTAGGTGACTAAGGACAGGAAATATGGACAACGAATTCTGACTGTGGCTTTTAACTTGAGATATATGGGATTGTTATTGGTGGCCCAATAATTTGTAAATTGTTATTATATGCATATTGTTTTTAATTGATTGTTTTAACCTGTTGTACACCGCACTGAGTCGCCGTCCAGGCTGAGATATTGCGGTATATAAGAGTTTCAAATAAATAAATAAATAAATAAATAAATAAATGTGCATAACTTTGACTCCAAAAGTGGGCATTTGATTTTTTTTCACAAGAAGAAGTTCCTGTTTAAACTGGAATTTGCATATCCTATCATGATAGCTATCACTAGCTTGTTTTCTGGGTTTGGTTTCCTCGCTTAGCCTGCCTGCATTGTCATATCTTGGTTTTCTGGTTGCAACTCCTGGTTTGACTCGCTCTTTCCCTTATCCCAAAATCCTGTTTTTCCCATCTGTTTTGCAGCTGCCTACAACTCAGCACCCACAGAGAGGAAACTGAAACTTAGTACAGAATATTCTCATTTTCCAGTCGCTGACATAACTGCTATAGAGAAACCCATTATGATTAAGTAGTAGATATTATAGTAGTGGATATAAATAATGTCCCGTTTGCAATTAATCTCAACAGAGCTATGCATAAAGCACAAAGCATTGCTGCACACTTCTAGGTACACCTTATAAATATTAAGCTCTGAAATTTTTGTAGCAGTATTTGGATTCACTTGCCCTTTTTAAACCAATACAGAAAGAAAAAGTGACTTCACTAAGAGAAGTGGTCACATGAGTGGAGTGATCTTACAGATTTTAATAAAACAGTTGAGTGTGGACTTAATATATCATTCTGAACTAACTCTGTCTTTTAAATTAAACAAAAACAACCAATTTTAATATTTTGATATTGACAAAATGTTATATTAAATAAAAGCAATTCTAATGTATATTATGGTCAATTCCCATTAGAAGTCCCACCTATACTAGAGATATTTAATCAATAACTGAATGGTGAATCAATTAAACAAAATATGTGTTTAAACCAATTCCATTCAGGTAGGACTGTGCTGTGGTGCAGCTAGTTAGTAGCCAGCTGCATTAAATCACTACTGACTGAGAGGTCATGAGTTCAAAGCCAGCCCAGGTTGGTGTAAGCTCCTGACTATTAATAGTCTAGCTTGCTGTTGACCTATGCAGTCCAAAAGACAGTTGCATTTGTCAAGTAGGTACCACTTTATGCAGGGAGGCTAATTTAACTAATTTACAATGCCATAAAACCTTCCAGAAGCATGGAGAAGAATGAGGAAGAACTCCATCAAAGGACCTGGTGTCACAAGTGGACGGTGAAGTGGCAGCTCCCCCTGTGGCTGGAACGGAGCATACTCTCATGAAGCTGGAAAAAGCTGGAATGTTAAATTGCCTCTGTGTCTGTCTATATATGATGTATGGCATTGAATGTTTGCCATGTATATGTGCATTGTAATCCGCCCTGAGTCCCCTTCTGGGTGAGAAGGGCTGAATATAAATACTGTAAATAAATAAATATGAAATGTTTGTTCTAATGTTAAGCCAACTTTTACGTCCCAGAATGTAATGTGAATTGCTAAAAATGGAAACAAATTTAGAATGTAGTGTTTAGTTTAACGTTATATCTTTCTCTTTTGGCTAAGAAAACCCCATGGTTCTAGGGTTGCCATAAGTCAGAAGCAAAGTGAAGGCACACAATACCAGTCTGATTAGACTCTTTTTAAAGGTCTTTACTATTTTAGTTGTTATCTTCTGTGGTATTTTTAATGTATGTTTACTCAAAGGTAAACATTTTTGTTCTAAGGTAAGCCAGTTTAGTGTAGGTTTTCTTCATCACATAGATATTAATGAGATTGTGTTTCCAACAGACCTTACAACCTCTGAGGATGCCTGTCATAGATATTGGCAAGATGACAGGAGAGAATGCTTCTGGAACATTGCCATACAGCCCAGAAAACTCACAGCAACCCATTAATGAGTTTCTTGATCCTCCAACTTACAAAAAGGTGAAATTAAATTGTTCCGGAATGAGTAGCTGCTAGGCCGTTTTAAGAACACCTTCTTAATATACAGATTGGCCCATTTTTTCCTTTGTCACTTGTTTATAATTTACCTTGACAATTCTTTTCCACAACTGACTTGTTTTCTATCACTAGTCCTGGCTACATAATATGCTGCTAGAAGGCCCAGTTATAAAAAGAATAATATTTATTTATTTAATTTGTACCCCACCTTTCATCCCAGTATGACACCCAAGGTGGCTCTACATTTAAGTTGTAAAAATACAGATGCAACTACTGTATAGTAATAATAATCAGGTCCAGTGAAACAACAGTAATGCACTTGAACCTGAAAAGAAAATAAAAACTACCTGTTCACCCTTTGATTTGTATATTGTAATGTGGAAAGATGGTCCTTTCTTAAAGATATGTAACTTTGCATTCACTCTATTATTTAAGAGAGAGAAAATGCAGGCTTGCATCACCACAATCTCTAGCAACTCTAATCAAACATTGGGCATAGCATGTGGGAGAATGATTAAGGATGCTTACAGATGAGAAATTGATGGTGTAATTGCACTGTTACATTCATACAATTATATGAGGAGTCATAAGCCAGGCAATGTACTGAACTTATTGCCTTTCTCCATTTTACCTTTGTTTTTTCCTTGTTTTTTTTCTCAGCAGAAGATACGGTAAATAAAAAGTAAAATAGATGCACAATGCTTTTTTTGTTGGGATAGTAATAGCAACCCTCCATTTGAAAGCAATCTAAATAGCTAATGTCACTTTTCTCCTATGCTGCACAAATCATCACAGCATAGGCGTAAGTGTATTTCTATATGACTGTCCTTCAGGTGTTATTTCTATTACTGAATCATTGGCTGGGTCCCAAAGAGACTCTTTTACAAAACTAATTGATTTTATGCCTGTTTTGTTTTGCTTTGTGTTTATTTTCCTTCTTTGAACAATAGATCCCTCCTGCTTAAGATAGTAAAGACTACTATAAAAATTAATCTCAGTTTGTGTCAGTCTGGAAATGGGGAGATCAAATTAAAACATGTATTAGACATCTATTCATTCCATGATTATGTTATCCTTCTTTGCCTAACAATTTCAATTATGCTGGGAGTATAGAAAAGGAGAAGGGAAAAGCATATGTATCATATTAATGCAGTTTCTCAACCTGGGGGTCTGGACCTCTGGGGGGTTGCGAGAGGTTGTCAGAGGGGTCACCAATGCCCCTCAGAAAGCACAGTATTTTCTGTTGGTCATGCGGGTTCTGTGTGGGAAGTTTGGCCAGAGTCTATCATTGGTGGGGTTCAGGATACTCTTTGATTGTAGGTGAACTATAAATCCCAGCAACTACAACTCCCATATATCAAGGTCTATTTCTCCCAAACTCCACCAGTGTTCATATTTGGGCATATTGAGTATTTGTGCCAAGTTTGGTCCAGATTCATCATTGTTTGAATACACAGTGTTCTCTGGACGTAAGTGAACTACAACTCCAAAACTCAAGGTCAATGTCCACCAAACCATTCCAGTATTTTCTGTTGGTTATGGGATTTCTGTGTGCCAAGACTGGTGCAATTCCATTGTTGGTGGAGTTCAGAATACTCTTTGGTTGTAGGTTAACTACAACTTCCAGCAACTACAATTACCAAATGACAAAATCAACCCCCCCCCCCCCCCCCAACCACAACAGTATTCAAATTTGGGTGTATCAGGTATTTGTGCCAAATTTGGTCCAGTGAATGAAAATACATCCTGCATATCAAATATTTACATTATGATTCACAACAGTAGCAAAATTATAGTTATGAAGTAGCAACAAAAATAATTTTATGGTTGGGGGTCACCACAACATGAGGAACTGTATTAAGGGGTCATGGAATCAGGAAGGTTGAGAACCACTGCATTGATGTATTTGGAGAAATTACGAAATATAATGTAATAAACACCTATAATGAGCAAATTTTTATAAACTGTTTTGCTGTGTGACACAGACTACTTCTGTGTGAGCAACAGAAGTTTAACTGCTTCATGTACATTGAGGATAGTTGATGCATATATCTACGGCTAAGCTACATTGGTTTCAAGCTGACAAATACCTGTATATTTGTATTTTAAGAGGGCTAGATGTATGTTGTATGTTGTGTTTGCACTGTCTGTTTTGATAAGGCCAGCTGGCTAATCAATAAAATTGTTTGCTTCTTGTACATATGGAGTTGAACCATATTGTTTGCAGCAACCAAAAACCATGTCAGTTTAACCCTTGTGAAAAGGATTGATACTTTCTGTGCATATTTTGGTTAATCTGTATAATCTGAATCACAGGGATCTCAATCTGACAAAAGGTCAAATTCCAAATAGTTCAAAGAGGCAATATTCAAGAAGAAAGGAAATCTCTATCCATAAAAGCCAAAGGTCAGACTCAAGTGGGAATTATATCTGATTAATTATGTTTAGGGGACAACTGGTCCTTCAGCTGTGTCATCTGAATCTTTCTGAATAATCATCGCCTTGTCACTTTAGATGACTATATATGACCCTTGGATCCTCTTGGTGAATCAGACTGTGATGCCCAGAGGTGGCCCTAGGTAATTTTCAACGGTAAGCAAACAGTATTTTGCCCCCCGCCCCAACGAATCACGGCTATATATTTTCTGTTCGTCGTGGGAGTTCTGTGTGCCATATTTGGTTCAATTCCATCATTGGTGGAGTTCAGAATGCTCTTTGATTGTAGGTGAACTATACATCCCAGTAACTACAACTTGCATATGTCAAGGTCTATTTTCCCCCAAGAGCACCCCTGGGCAAAATCAACTATACTGCAAATGCTTACTTTGCGTAATGGGTTGAGCCACCCCTGGTGATGCCTGATCCCTTCATCATGGCAGAACCTATGCTAAATCTAAACTAGGGAAGACAATAATAATCCACAGGATTGAAGTTTTCACTATTCATGCCAATCCATGGTACTCACAAATGCATGTATACAATTTAGGATTGCAAATGTTCCACCATATTCAGTGTAAATATAATTCTTATTTTTCCCTGCTTCATTCCTTGCATCTAACAGTCTCCTAAAAACTGAACTTTTGAAGCAGGACCTAGTATTTATTCTAACTATGATAAATACAGGAGTTCTCCATGGTGCTGAACTAACTGGTCAGTCGGAAAAGCAGAATAAAAAAGCAGGACAGCAATATTTTAAATATATGATGATTTAGGAATATTAATATTTATCAGTCAGTCATAGAAATGGGCAGTATAGATATTAGATATGACTGATCCAAGTTCAGTAATATATCACGTAACACTAAAATCTGGTTTCAAACAGTACTCTGCAAAAGAGTGCAAAGTGCAAAAAATACTTGAGAAATATTATGTATCTCTGAGGACATATTCTTAAAATCACATGTATTCTGAACTGTTACTAGAAACCTGTATCCCTCACATTTAGTTTCATTAACATAAATAAGAAATAACATATGCTGGAAATGACATTGGGATATTATTCAATTACTTTTTAAGGATAACTGAAGTGGCTGATCAGAATTTGGGATCAAAACAACGTTGAGCTGGTTTATTCCAGCAAAGCTTTTAAAAAAAGTAATAGATCATCTTCTTCACTTTGGTTTGGTAAGAATTGTAATTTTCAAAAACCAAAGAGTTGATTCTGCTTACCAGGGGGTTGATATTGGCATGATATGCTAAACGGTGAATACAAGATGCACAGTCCTTGCTACATTCTGCCCGAACAGTAAGGATGAAACAAGTGCTAAAAGCCAAGAGCAGGAAATGACATCTCAGAAGCAGTGTCATGTTCTGCAAAAAAAGAGAGAACAACATACTGAGAGATTAAGCCATGAGCATCCATTTGATTTCTTGTTTTTTAAAAAAACATATCATGTCACCTTTACATGAAGTATAAGTGAAAAGGGTTAACACCCCTTTTGATATTATGTATCTGTTATATTTATATCTCACAACACTTCTTTCTCTTTCTTCCTGTTTCATCTTTCTCATAATCCAGTGAGGGTGATCAGCCTGAGAGATGGATTCTTATTTATTCATTATAAATAAATTAGTATAAAATTTAGAACTAAAATAGAACACAAGTGGCTAAATAATTTTTGACCAAAACCAGGCAACAGTGACCACATTGTCTATAGCTTTAAACAGTTTCTCTGTGCATGAGGCAGGACATTGTGGGCAGGTATACTGATGCTGAGTTGTTTGTTCTGCTCCATAGTCACACAAGGTGGAAGATTCTTCTAGGTAGTGCCATTTTGCCAGGTTGTCTTTTGATCTGCCCACTCTGAGTCTGTTTAGGGACTTCCAAGTTGCCCATTCTTAGTTTTCCCTTGGAGGAAGACCCTTGTGGGGCGGGGGGCATCCAGTTAGGATTGCCTGATTTTTCTGCCCAGAGGGATACTCTTGTGCAGGTCACTCAATCCAGTACAACACTACACTACACCTACTAGGAAGTGCAATAAGGTTTGCTGCTGCTTTACTATAAAGCTCAACATGAATGGCATGCTTGCCAGACTCCTCTATGGTTACCAAACAAGGAACCTGGGGAGCTGGACTATGATGGAATTAAAGGCCTCACTACAGATGGATGGACTCAACCCAGGAAACCACATCCCAGCATTTAATAGAACTGAGCAGGGTTAAAGATGTCTAGCATCCATGGAGATATCTCATTCATGATACAAAAACAACAAATAAATTGTAGCCGGTTTTGCCAACATTACTGTTTTCAAGATTCTTTCAGATACATCCTGAGGAAAGGACTACAATCAGATTTTGATTGTAGCTGCACTTTCCTCCCTGTGCAAAATAGCTGACATCTGGCTGTTTACAAGGTTCGCAAGCTACACAATCTGTGTACATTGGCCAGAAGAAGGATACAGGTGTACAAAATGGCACGCAAAAGATGGCAGAAAAGAAGCCCACTGGGAATTCTGTGGGATCATCACAGCTCTGAAGCAATAACCAAACAGAGGAGGAGATGCATATGAAGAAGGAGGAGGAGATGCATATGAAGTGAGGTACCTGAGAGAGGATTGGCCTAAGGCCATCCAGGACCATCTGCATTGTTGTCTGCCTATTTCTTTTTTGTGCATTATAAAATGCTGCTAGGAGCTTTCTCTCATGACAATTGCAAGGGACTGTCACCCAAGACTGAATCTGGACTCTAGAACATTTGTTTTGGAATAAACGGAGGCTGCTCAATTCAGTGGCAGTCAAAGTGCTGTTTCCCAATTAAATGACTTTCCCTCCACTCTTGTGTTCATTGCTAACTGCTTTTCCTCTTTAGAAGCCTGACACGTATTGTGCATTTTAATATTACCCATATATATTAATAAACAAGATTATCACTAAATAATAAAAAGTTATCACTAAAACCATTTTTATTCATATTCACCAGAAACACACTTATTTTTGGTTAGGCAAACTCTATAAGGATCCTTTAAAACACAGTGGCAATATCTAGTCACCACAGTGGATGGAACACATTCTTTCTTTGTCACATTGGTCTGCGTTGCTCTACATACTGCTTCTATCACACATAGGTAAGAGTAAAGGTTTTTCCCTGACATTAAGTCCCGTCGTGTCCGACTCGGGGGGGGGGGGGGGGGGGGTTGCTCATCTCCATTTCTAAGCCAAAGAGCCGGCGTTATCTGTAGACATCTCCAAGGTCATGTGGCTGGCATGACTGCATGGAGTCCTGTTACCTTCTCACCAGAATGGTATCTATTGATCTACTCACATTTGCAAGTTTTCAAACTGCTAGGTTGGCAGAAGCCAGGGCTAACAGTGGGAGCTCACCCTGTTCCCTGGATTCGAACCTGCAATCTTTCAATCGGCAAGTTCAACAGCTCAGCGGTCTAACCCACTGCACCACTGGGAGCTTCTCTATCGCACATACCCTGAAACTTTTAAAGCAACAGCTTTTGTAAAACTGCCTAGTCATTGTGAAATGATTTGAATGTTTTTGTCTGTAGAAAGTCAAAGCATAAAAAAGAGTGGTACTTGGAAGATGTAATTTTTCTTAGTTTTTTTTAAAAAAGGACCCAAAAATGTTTTTGCTGGAGTGAGGAAAGAGTTGTAAAAGCAAACCAGAGCACACCTGCTTTGAATAAGGAGGCAGGAAAAGGGGACCCCAGCTGCCCCAAATCTGCCCTCCCAAATAAATCTAATTTCCATTTTGAAGTCTTTTGCTGGAAGTTCACCTGGTGATTTTGCTTCTAGAGAGAAATCCATGTGCTGTGGCAAAGAAAACAAAACAAAAAACACTTCAGTAGAGTAGATTTATGCATCCACTTCCACCTGGTGAATTAGAGAGGGATGCTCATGAGAAACAAAAGGGGGAAAGCTGTTGGGGGCTTTCATGGCTGGAATCACTGGAGTGCTGTGCGTTTTCCGCGCTGTATGGCCATGCTCCAGAAGCATTCTCTCCTGACATTTTGCTCTCATCTATGGCAGGCATCTTCAGAAGTTGGGAGGTCTACTGGAAACTAGACAAGGGAGGTTTATATATCTGTGGAAGGTCCAAGGTGGGAGAAGGATTTCCTGTCTGTTGGAGGCAGGTGTGAATATTGAAATTAATCACCTTGAGGTTCTGAGTTTTTCGGGCTGTATGGCCATGTTCCAGAAGTATTGACTCCTGAAGTTTTGCACACATTTATGGCAGGCACTCTCAGAGGGTGGGAGGTCTATTGGAAACTAGACAAGTGGGGTTTATATCTATGTGGAATGTCCAGTGTGGGAGAAAGAACCCTTGTCTGTTTGAGGCAAGTGTGAATGCTGCAATTGATCACCTTGATTAGCACTGAATAGCCTAGCAGCTTCACGGCTTGGCTGCTACCTGCCCGGGGAATCCTTTGTTGGGAGTTTGAACTCACCTTGAGGTTGTGAGTTTTCCAGGCTATATGGACATGTTCCAGAAGCATTCTCTCTTGACGTTTCACCCACATCTATGGCAGGCATCCTCAGAGGTAGTGAGATGCTTCTGGAACATGGCCATACAGCCCAGAAAACTCACAGCAACCCAATGGGAGAAAGAACTCTTGACACTGACATAGGTACATACAGGTTCTCCCAAGTGACACTTTAGGTCTACATGAAGTGAAACCCCATTTCCTTAGGAGAAACCCACATATGTTTTCTCCCGGGGTAGATCCTGCAGAGAGCCCCTCTCGTCCCCATCCCGGGCCAATGAGGTGCAGGGGTCGCTCCGGCCCAAACTTGGCTCTTTCCATTGAAAGGGCATAAGACAGGAGTGGGGACAGGACCCGATCCACGGTCCCCAGAGTATTTTTTCCAAGCACGGAGCCGCGGGGTGGGGTGGGGTGGGGAGAGAGTTTGGGTGGCAGGCTGGGATCCTCTCTCGGTGGAAGGGGAACCCGGGCGGGAAAAGGGGCGCCCCGGGGCATTGGAGGGCTCTAAGGAGGGTTCCCACGCGTCGAGGATCCCGAAGAAACTAAGAAAACGAGTTACAGAAGTTCGGGAAAGCGGCACCGGAAACAAAGCACCGCGGATCCTTTAAAAAGACCCCCAAAATGAAAAAAGACGGCCGGTCAATGAGCCAATGTGGGATCAAGGGGCTTCCCACCCCTCTCTTCTGCGCCAGCTATCCCTTTCCACTTACTTTGTCCCCCTTCGCGGTTCAGTCGCTTTCAGCGCGCCCCGAAGTCCCGTTGGAGACTCTTCGCCTCTGAAGAAACAGAAATCGGAGGGAGAGAGGATGAAGGAGCGGGAAACACACACACACACACAGATCCATCACACAATGACAGGTTGAGTTCCCCTTGTTCGGAAGCCCGAATACTCCAAAATGCAAAGCTGACCACATGGGTGGCTGAGACAGTGATTTCTCCTTTGATTTCTGATGGTTCGACTTACTCAAACTTTGTTTCATGCACAAGCTCATTAAAAAAAATGTGTATAACCTTTATATAGTGTGTATATATCAATTAATGTGATGTTTAGACCTCTAATTGGGGCCCATCTCCAAGCTATTTAATTGTGTCCCATTTCCAAGACATGGCATTGTGTGTCATCTCCAGGTTATTCTTAACTGTGCCCCATCTGCAAAATATCTCATTGAGCTACCAAATAAACTTTAGGCTACGTATATAAGGTGTAGATATGAAATACTAATCAATGTGATGTTTAGACCGCTAATTGGGGTCCTACCGCCAAGCTATTTAATTATGTCCCATTTCCAAGATATGTCATTGTGTCTCATCTCCAGGATACTCTTACCTGTGCCCCATCTGCAAGATATCTCATTGAGTTGCCATCTTCAGAAATATCTAACTGGGGGCCATATAACCCAGAATATAAAGGCAGAAAGTCCCACATTATCTGAGTGTGGACTCAGATAACCCAGTTCAAAGCAGATAATGTAGGATTTTCTACCTTGATATTCTGGGTTATAGGGCTGTGTGGAAAGCCTCTTAGTGCCCCTCCACACAGCCCTATATCCCAGAATATAAAGGTAGAAAGTCCCACATTATTTGAGTGTGGACTTGGATAACCCAGTTCCAAGCAGATAATGTGGGATTTTCTGCCTTTATATGGCAAAAATCCCTTCTCAAAGCCCTTCCACACTGCCGCATGTATATATCCCAGAATATCAAGGCAGAAAATCCCACAATATCTCCTTTGAACTGGGTTATCTGAGTCCACACTCAGATAATGTGGGATTTCCTGCCTTTATATTCTGGGATACAGGGCTATGTGCAAGGGCCCATAGTGTGGACTCAGATAACCCAGTTCAAGGCGGATATTGTGGGATTTTTTGCCTTTATATACTGGGATATAGAGCTGCATGGAAGGATCCTAAGAGCCCTTCCACACAGCCGTATAACCTAGAATAGCAAGGCAGAAAATTCCACAATATCTGCTTTGAACTGGGTTATCTGAGTCCACACAGACAAATATACCAGCTGAAGGCAGATAATGTGGGATTTTAGTCAGCTGTGTGGAAGTTTGTCCCATCTCCAAGTCGCCTGCTTGCGTCCCATCTCCAAACACCTAATTAGATCCGGTTTCCAAGATGTGTCCCATTTCTAAGATCCCTAATTGGGTCCCATCTCCAGGATATCATCTCCTAATAGATGGGAAAAGATTCCAAAAATCCGAAATACGGAAAAATTCTAGATTTCGGAGAAGGGATACTCTACCTGGACGAAGTCGATTGGAAGGAAAGAGGGGTCCGCTCCGAGGAAACTGACAAGGGAGTAGCAGTGGAGCCTCACGGTCGCCCTCCGCCGGGTCTCTTCTCCCTTCCGAGGCGGGTCTCTTTCTGCCGGGCTCCTCGAAGCTCTCCAGCACAATCCGGACCCTGGGCAGCGAGAGGCACACTTTATAATGAGTCAAAGAGGGGAAACGCGGCGCCTTCCCCAATCGCGTCCAGCCTCCATGTGACGCAGCGCCTGCGACATCCAGGAGGAGTGGGGGGAAGATGGGGGGGGGTGAGGTGGTGGGGCTGGTCCTCGCCTGCCGGAGGGCGAGAGACGGCTCACGATTCCGTGGTACTCATCGCCGCCCCCCTGCTGCCCTACGGATCAGGGATTAATTTCCTTTAAAGCGTGCACCCTCCCCCGTTTGGTGTGTCTCGCTTCATGTTCTCTTTGGGGAGGAGGCCATCTCCGCCCAGGATCGGGCGCCCAGAGACTCTCTCTTTCCCTTCCAAGTTGTCATCTTCAAACTCAGTCCCAGGGGAAGATCTTGGAGGTGAGCGAACTCCTTGTACCGCAGCTCGTTTGGAAGGAATGGGAAGACAACTTTGCTTTGGGTCGTTGTAAGTCTTTCAAGCTGTATGGCTATGTTCCAGGAGCATTCTCTCCTGACGTTTCGCCTGCATCTACGGCAGGCATCCTCAGAGGTTGTGAGGTTCGTTGGAAACTGGGAAAATGAAGTTTATATACCTATGCAAAGTCCAGGGTGGGAGAAAGAATTCTTGTCTCTTCGAAGTAGGTGTGAATGTTTCAGTTGGCCACCTTGATTAGCATTTAATGGTCCAGCAGTTTCAAGGTCTGGCTTCTCACTGCCTCGGAGAATCCTTTGTTGAGAGGTGATTCGATGGCTCTGATTGTTTCAGGGACATGTATACAATTTCAACAGAAAGGAAGAAACAATGAAAATGAAATTCTAAAATCCTAATAGTAAATACAGAACAACACTCAAAAACAGGGGAATTCCAGACAAGAAACCATCAGAGCCAGCTAATCACCTCCCAACAAAGGATTCCCCCAGGCAGTAAGAAGCCAGATCTTGAAACTGCAGAGCCATTAAATGCTAATCAAGGTGGCCTACTGAAACATTCACAGCGACTTTGGAGAGACCAGTGTTCTTTCTCCCACCCTGGACATTCCACAGATATATACACCCCATTTTCCTGGTTTCCAACAGACTTCACAACATCTGAGGATGCCTGCCATAGATGTAGGTGAAATGTCAGGACAGAATGCTTCTGGAACATGGTCATACAGCCCGGAAAACTTACAACAACCCAGTGATTCCAGCATGAAAGCCTTCTACAATACAACTTTGCTCTTGTCCTCTCAAAAGTTGGCCCAACAAAGCACTCTCTGAGCTATCTTCAGTTCCACTCAATCTTCTGACCTGAGTGGGTTCTCATGTTGGAATTTATGAGCCTGATCTCAGCTCTTGTCACCTACATATTCAGGCATAGGCTGATTAGATTGGCATTTCTCAACATGGGTGTCCGGAGCCCGGGGTCCGGAGCCAAAGCCCATCAGATCAGAAAACCCGTATTTTCTGTTGGTCATGGGGGTTCTGTGTGGGAAGTTTGGCCCAATTCTATTGTTGGTGGGGTTCAGAAAGCTCTTTGACTGTAAGTGAAAAAATAGAGTCCTTGCCATACATCAAAGGAACCACTGACCACATAGGGAAGCTGACGAGGAAACACAACCTACAAGCTATCTACAGACCCACTAAGAAAATCCAACAAATGCTACATTCAGCAAAGGACAAGAAGGATCCTCTGACCTCTGCAGGAGTCTACTGTATACCATGCAGCTGTGGACAAGTCTACATAGGGACCACTAAGTACAGCATTGCCCAAACATGAGTCAAGGAACATGAAAGGCATTGCAGACTAATTCAGCCAGAGAAATCAGCCATTACAGAGCACTTGATGAACCAACCTGGGCACAGCATATTATTTGAGAATACAAAAACGCTGAACACTCTAACAACCACCATGTCAGAGAAACCATTGAAATCCACAAGCATGTGGGCAAATTTAACAGAAAGGAAGAAATAATGAAAATGAACAAATCTGGCTACCAGTATTAAAAAACCTCTAAAATCATAATAGTAAAGCTGGGGAATCCTTTGTTGAGATGCAGCAATCAGCCAGGGTCTGATGCTACAAGGCCATTAAATGCTAATCAAGGTGGCCAATTGCAACATGCACACTTGCCTCAAGCAGACAAGAGTTCTTTCTCCCACCCAGGACATTCTAACAGACCTCACAACCTCTGAGGATGCCTGCTATAGATGTGGGTGAAATGTCAGTAGAGAATGTTTCTGGAACATGGCCATATAGCCCAGAAAACTCATAACAACTCAGTATATGTTGTTTGTCACACAGCATCTAATGTGCAAAACTTGCTGAAAACGCCTTTCTCTATTCAGGCATTAGAAAACAGCAGTCTCTCCAGTTTTCACCCAGGCAACTCAATTAGTTAATTACTGAATACTAAAACACGTTTGTTTGTTTGTTTGTTCTTTTTTACAAAAAAACGCCAAAGTTTTTTGAATTGCCAGAGGCATTAATTCTATGCACCAGATGCTCAGCACCTAGGTTTGGGAGGTACTATTCCTATTCACTTTTTTTAAAAAAAAAACTCTCTCTCTCCTTTTGTCCTAAAGTGGCCCTGATGGTCACAAATATTATTTACATTCTGTTTGCCTTAGGATAAGCAGACACTTAGATCCTAGTTAGTCCAAACTGAGGCACATGAAAAAAAAAAGATACCTGTTCAAGCTTCTGCTCAGATTATGAGCTTCGTGTCTGTTTAGACCCTTTCCCCTGGAGTGTGGCATAGTTTTGCCTGGTACAAGCATAACCTGCTTGTGCTAAGGACACCTTTTATGTAAGAGTTGAGTCAAAGAACATGATGTCCTCAGGACAGCATGTGGACATCTTTGTGTTGATGCCTATGGGCCATCAACCAGAGAGGTAGATGACCAATTTCCAATGTGAGCTAACTGTGAAGAATACAATCTAAGTGAAGGAAAATATCAAAAATTCCAGCTGTAGGAACAGACAAGACAGGAGATTTGATTTGGATGCTTGTTGAACAGGAAAGCACCGGAATGCCTGTTAGTTCCTGGTAAAAAATTGGATGAGTTAATTAACACTTAATGATGTACTAAAAAGTGGGTTAGTAGGATGTATCTCTTCAGATATTCGGCTCTCTGTTTTCAACCAGCATCATTCACAGATCATCCCTTTTCAGCTTAATAGACATCACCCAGATGGTTGTATATGATGAGCAGAGAACAGAAGTGAGTGAGATGCAGCACAATAGAAATATTTGTTGGCAAGGAGTCATTTACTTTAAAATTCAACAGCTTTCTTGTTATTCACACACAGTCCCAGCAACTTTGATCAAGTATCAAAAACAACTAGAGTAGCCATTTTTAAAAAGACTTTCTGATCAACAGAGAACTAAGCAAGTCTTTAAATGCCAATAGTGTGAGCTGATTTCTGGATAGACTGAACATAATGTCTTAGAGCACATACACATGCGTTATTGGCTCGTCATCTGGGGAGGAGATGCAATTTGATCTCAAATACAATAAATAATCAATGAATCTCTCATGAATCCTGTTTAAAAGCCCTTCCTGGTCCACTGGACCTTAATATATACAGACCAGTCTCTAATTTTCCTTGCCTTCTGGGCAAGATGATTGAGAAAGCAGTTGCTTTCCAAATCCACAGAGTCTTGTATAATACCCATTACATTGGCTTCAGAGCAGGCTGTGGAGTTCAGACTGCTATGATGGATGATCTCTGACTTAACACTGATGAGGGAGTGTGCTCTTGTTTGTACTTTTAGATCTCTCAGCAGATTTCAGTACGATTGAGCATGGTATCCTTCTGAAATGCCTGTGGGGTTTGAGAATTGGAGGCACTATTTCATTCCTCTCAGGCAGGTTCTAGATGGTGGTGCTTGGAGATAGCTGCTCCTCAAAAAGGGAGCTGTTGTGTGGCATTCCACAAGGAGTCAATCAGTCATCAATGCATTTTAACATTTATATGAAACCTCTGGGAGAAATCATCCAGAGGCACATGGCAGGGTACTATCAGTATAGTGATGACACTCAAATGTATTTATCCATCCCTTCAAAAGCAGCTTTAACTAAGGATAGAATAGCTCATCTAAATGAATGCACAGAAAAGATAATGGACTGGATGAAGAAAAACTGAAACTGAATCCAGACAAAACAGAGGTGTTTGCTACCAAAGTCCCTAACATAGCAATGGAGATGTGTCAATCAGCTCTGGATGGGGTTGCACTCTCCATGAAAAACTGTTCACAGCTTGGAAGTGCTCTCTGTAATATTCCTAGTCCATAATAAAGCCAAGAAAGCTGAGGTCCTTCTCTCATTTTGGAACCCATGTGTTAATTGTTCCTTAAAGTAAAGGTAAAGGTTGTCCCCTGACATTGTCCAGTCATGTCTGACTCTGGGGTGTGGTGCTCATCTCCATTTCTAAGCCGAAGAGCCGGCATTGTCCATAGACACCTCCAAGGCCATGTGGCCGGCATGACTGAATGGAGCACCATTCCTTAGGAGAGTCTAAAATTCTAGCTAGCCCAGTGATTTTATACACTTGGTTTCTGTTGTAATAACCAATCAGTTGGGTGGAAGACAAACCCCTTTGTGTCCATGCACAGACCTGTGGCTGAAAACTTAAGTATGAGTCTACTAATATATTTAAATAAGCTAGAAAATGATCAAATGATCTTTAAATACACTATATTTTGAAATTCAACTGCAAATGCATTTTAATATCAGGGGACTGATCCTTCTCTCTCTTTCCTTCTCTTCCACTGAAATGTTTACCCTCACCTACTACCACGGCCGAACATCCTCAAATCTAATTAAGGTAAGATACTAGAACAAAAGGACTTAGCTGTATTTGGCTTAAACACTCACTGAAAATATTCTGTAATTACTGCTTTAGTGAATGGCCATTGTGCTTATCTTAGATATGAACATTGGAGAGAAAAATTATTTCTTGCATTTCATAGCTTATGAGATTGTTTACATCCTGCCACCCAAAATTCATATAATTACATTTCTTTCTCTTTTTTTGAAATACTTTTTTATTGAAAACAAC